TCATGACTCGCTCCATCAAGTTGGTTCCTTGGTCGGTTAGTATCTCATGCGGTAGGCCTACCCTAGAAAACATTTTGACTAATCCGGAGTGGGACCGCCTCTGGGTACCGCGTCGCGTAGTCTATTGCGACCAGGATATGTTGGTTGCCCTTGCGGGACCTGTCCAGAGGCCCCACTAGATCGAGGGCTATTCTTCGAAAGGGGGTGTCCACCACCGGTAAGGGTACCATGGGAGCTCGGGGAACGTTCCTCCTGGCCACCTGCTGGCACTCGGAGCAGGATTCGCAGAAGTCCTTAACCGCTTTGTGCGCCCCGGGCCAATAGAAGCGTGGCAGTATCCTTTGCAGCGTCTTTTCCGCCGCCAAATGTCCTGCCCAGGGGTTTGCATGCGTGGCCTCCAACACCCTCCACTGATAACAGGTTGGCACCAGGAGCTGCCACACCTTCCCCTCTTGTCCCGGCCTCGAGGTGACCCTATATAACCGATCGGCTATTACCTCGAACCGAGGCCCCTGTTTCCCTTGCGTCCAGGGGTCGTCGCCCGTCGAGGTATGTTCCCATGCGTGCTTCAGGGAGTCGTCCTCCCACTGCTCTCGCACAAAGTCCAGGCCGGCTTCTGCTGGAGTTTCATTCGGGGCGTCCCCCATCTGGGCCTCCCGGGGGGGCCCTTTCTGTCCTCCGTGGCGGTGCCCCGCCTTCCTCCCTGGCCGTTCGCCTTTTCCCCCACTCCTCAATTAGTCTTTGAAAACCTGGCCAATCCCAGCCTAGGATTACGGGGTATGCTAGGTGCGGGGCCAGCGCGACTCGGCATCGCTTTGTCCGGGGGCCCTTCCGTATAAGCAGCCACCGGGTCGGATACCACTTGACATCCCCATGGATGCACTGCATCTCTACAGCGGGGGCTTCAGGCTCCCGCTGTGGCACCAAGTCGCTCCGGACTACATTCCAGTTACATCCGGAGTCTACTAGTGCCCACACGTTTTTACCCTCTAGTCCTACCTGCACTGTGATTTGTCGTCGTCCCGTCGTCTCGCCCGCCGCGAGGCGGTTAAGGCTCTGCCATACAAACAGTCCATAGAAGGGCACTCTCGTCGGTAATGGCCCACCTGCCCGCACTCGAAACATGCCCCTCGTTTTCCGGGCTTCAGCGTCCCCGGCGGTCCCCCCTCCTGTTCCCAGGAGGGACTCCTCTTTGGAGCTTCAGGGGCCCTCATCTGGGGGTCCTCTCCCCACCCTTTCCATGGGAGGGGGGGTCCCTGGCTGGCGGGCCCCTGCCGCAGTCCTGTCTCGTACCGGTGCCGGCCACAATATCACCGGTTCCGTCTTCTTCCCCTGCTGCCGCCATATAGTTCTCCAGGATCGACGTGGCTTCACCCAGGGTCATGGGTTGGTGTCGTCGCACCCACAGGCGGCCCTTCGATGGTATGATCTGCAAAAACTGGTCCAGCACGATCATCTCCACTACCTGGGTGGCCTATCTTTTCTCTGGCTCTAGCCAACGGTTGGCTGCCTCCCTAAGCCTCTGCACTACTGCCTGCGGGCCCTCCCCGGGGCGATACTTCTCCTCCCGGAACCTCTGCCGGTATGTTCCCGTGGTGATGCCTGCCTGGTCTAAGATGGCCTTTTTCACTTTCTGACAGTGCAGGGCATCTCGGGCGGGCAGGCCCCTATAGGCGCCTTGCGCGGGGCCGGTAAGATAGGGGGCTAGTAGTGTCGCCCAGCTTTCCTCTGGCCATCGGGCCGCAGTGGCGACCTGTTCAAAAGTCACAAGGAAAGCCTCCGGGTCATCGCTTGGCGTCATCTTGACCAGGCGTAGGGGCAGGGCCAAGGCCGGGCCTTCCCCCTCCCCGGGCGTCCCGAAAGGGTTCTGGACTCCCCGAGCCCCCTGCTGCAGCCATTGGTCTAGCTGCCTTTGCTGCTGCTCTAATAAGTCCTTCACTACCTTCTGCTGCTCCCTCTATTGCTCCGCCAACCTCGGGGTAGGAGCTGCGTTTGCTGTTGCCGCTGACTCTCCCTCAGCCCCTCCAGCAGCTTCCCTGTATCCATACTCTCCCCCCGGAGTCAGGCCTCCCCCGTCCACCCTGAGGTCCTATTTTTTTGGGGGGGGTGCCCTCCACCCCCTAAGGGCTCATGCCCATGTTCTCCACCAGTGTCACCCGTTCCAGCTCAGGGGGCTGGCGTCAGGCTCCCGGGGCGGGGCCGCACCCCCCCCCAGAAGTCCCTTCCTACCCCGAGTCCGAGCCCACCGGCTCTTGTCCTCCTGCGTCCCGCGGGGTAAGTCCTCCAGGCGGCCGTGCCTTGCCTCTGGCTTGCCGTCCACCCCGGTCTCTGTGGCCACCGGCTCTCGCCTCCCTCCCCGCCCT